ACTAGCCCCCACTTTCTCAAGCCACCATAGTCAGAGAAGCACTGGATTTCCTACAGGCTTGGGACCAAGTCACAGAACAATGAGTCAAGACAACAAAGTGAAGACAACAGAGTCCAGCCCCTCAGCCCCATCCAAAGCCAGGTGAGATCTAATTGCCGATGCCTGGGGCATCCTCTTTCTTGGTGTCCTGGTCACAGCCAAAGCACTGAGTGTCTGGTGGACAAACAAGAGGAGTCTCTTCTCCCTACAGGAAGAGGCTGCCTGTCCTAGACCCTTCTGGGGATTATTACTACTGGTGGCTGAACACGATGGTCTTCCCTGTCATGTACAACCTCATCATCGTTGTATGCAGGTTTGGCAGGGGTGCAAAAAGAGGGCACCTTACGCTGTACTAAAGAGAGAAGCCAAGAAGGGCAGGCCGGGAGGGCACCTTCCCTGGAAGGACTCAAGGAAGAGACTGAGAGACCTGTTCTAGCAGGCTCCTCACACAGTAGGTACCTTTAAGCCAATCCCTTCCGCTACCTGTCCTGCAGAGCCTGCTTTCCTGACTTGCAGCACAGTTACCTGGTGGCCTGGTTTGTCCTGGACTACACGAGTGACCTGCTGTACCTACTAGACATCGGGGTGCGCTTCCACACAGGTCAGTGAGTTTCTGGGGCTAACCTTTTCCTCACATTTCCTTAAAGAACGTGTTAAGAAAGCAGCTCTAGGACTGCACTGTCACGTGTTTCTGTGCTTGACAATGTCCCAGGACTCACCCCAGACACCATGGAGAAGGCTATGCATGCTTCCATCTTGCCCTCATGTCTGGCCTGTTCCCGACCTGCCCACAGTTGACCGCCCCTATCTCCTCCTTTCTACCTAGGATTCCTAGAGCAAGGCATCCTGGTGGTGGACAAAGGTATGATCGCCAGTCGCTATGTCCGCACCTGGAGCTTCCTATTGGACCTGGCTTCACTGGTGCCCACGGACGCAGCCTATGTGCGGCTGGGTCCCCACATTCCCACACTCAGGCTAAACCGCTTTCTCCGGGTACCCCGCCTCTTTGAGGCATTTGATCGCACGGAGACCCGCACAGCTTACCCGAATGCTTTCCGTATCGCCAAATTGATGCTCTACATCTTTGTTGTCATCCATTGGAACAGTTGCTTATACTTTGCCCTGTCCAGGTACCTGGGGTTCGGACGGGATGCATGGGTATACCCAGATCCCGCACAGCCTGGCTTTGAGCGCTTGCGGCGCCAGTATCTCTACAGCTTCTATTTCTCCACTCTAATTCTGACCACTGTGGGTGACACGCCACTGCCAGCCCGGGAGGAAGAGTACCTCTTCATGGTGGGTGACTTCCTGCTGGCTGTCATGGGTTTCGCCACCATCATGGGTAGCATGAGCTCTGTCATTTACAACATGAACACTGCAGATGCAGCCTTCTACCCAGACCATGCTCTGGTAAAGAAGTACATGAAGCTGCAGCGTGTCAACCGGAGACTGGAGCGGCGTGTCATTGACTGGTGAGAGAAGGCTGGTTGCAGACCCCGCTAGGGGAAAGGATGGATGCCTTAGTGACCCTGTCCTTATTACCTACTGGCTATACCAGGCAGTTGGAAGATAGACTTCATTAGTAGGTCTGCTGGATAGGCTTAGACAGTGGTGTTTTCCACTAAGATGTAGACTAGGGGGAAAGAGCTGGCAAAAGAGGACAAGAAGAGGCATTTGTGTACTAGAGTAACAGAGACCCGAGAATGAGACTGCCATGGCCTGGGGGATCCGGGAGACTCTGAAAGGGGGTGGAGAAGGGAACTATCCAGCCAGGAGATGGCCAACATGGTTGATTACATCACGATAATGCAAGCTATGTTCTGAATAAAAGGAAACGTCTCAATGTCAGGGTGCCACCACAAAGCTGTCTGAGAGGGCAGGTGCTTGCTGACTAAAGCAACTCAGTGTAGAAGTGGTATCAGACACTGTGGCTGGGGTGGGGCCTGACAGAAGGTGAAGGAGGGGTAGGTGCCACCACACCTTGTAGGAAGTAGAACAGGCCATGTCTGTCACCAAGAAAGGCGACCAGAAAACTGTGAGGTACTCCCTTTGTTCTTATGAGAACTCAATGTGCCTGGGTTCCGGGCTGAGCGGAGTCCTGATGGAATGGGTGGAGCAGATGCGCAGGTCCTGGTAAGGAAATGATACTGCCTTTCTCCCAGGTACCAGCATCTGCAGATCAACAAGAAGATGACCAACGAGGTAGCCATCTTGCAGCACTTGCCAGAGCGGCTGCGGGCAGAGGTTGCTGTGTCTGTCCACCTGTCTACCCTGAGCCGAGTCCAGATCTTCCAGAACTGTGAAGCCAGCCTGCTGGAGGAGCTGGTGCTAAAGCTCCAGCCCCAGACCTACTCACCAGGGGAGTACGTGTGCCGCAAAGGAGACATCGGCCGAGAGATGTACATCATCCGTGAGGGTCAGCTGGCTGTGGTGGCAGATGATGGTGTCACACAGTATGCTGTGCTCGGTGCAGGGCTCTACTTTGGGGAGATCAGTATCATCAATATCAAAGGTGAGTCCCCAAGGAGAAGGGCTAGGGATAGGACTGGGCTGGGGAATGATAGAACCCTAGGACAAGATGGTATTTTGGGGCACATAGATTAAGAAGATCTGGCCCTTGTCTGAGTTGCTACAGGACTCAGGAGAGAAGCAAGGTATACATTATTTGTTCCCTGAGGAGGAAATGAGCCAAGGTCAGTGATTGGAGTGGTTTCTTAGAAAACAAAGCAGATATGTTCCATGGGCACTGGTGGAAATACCAACAGACCAGCAGAAAGTTACTGTACCAGCCATGTTGTTATATAACTGCCCCATTAAATATCTATCAAGGCAGGTGAATAAGCACAGGGCTTGGTCACCAACACATTACTAGAATAAAGCAGAAAAAAGGAAGTCAGAAGCACCAGTGTGGAGACTATATCCTGGTTCAGAAATGAAATGTCACCTTCCTGTCCCTACTAACTACTCTCCCCACATTTGTCTGCCATTGGACCACAGGAAACATGTCTGGAAACCGACGGACAGCCAACATCAAGAGTCTAGGTTATTCGGACCTGTTCTGCCTCAGCAAGGAGGATCTGCGGGAGGTGCTGAGTGAGTATCCACAGGCCCAGGCCGTCATGGAGGAGAAGGGCCGTGAGATCCTGCTCAAAATGAATAAATTGGATGTAAATGCTGAGGCAGCTGAGATCGCCCTCCAGGAAGCCACAGAGTCTCGGCTAAAAGGCCTTGACCAGCAGCTGGATGATCTACAGACCAAGTTTGCTCGCCTGCTAGCTGAGCTGGAGTCCAGTGCGCTGAAGATTGCTTACCGCATTGAAAGACTGGAGTGGCAGACTCGAGAGTGGCCAATGCCAGAGGACATGGCTGAGGCTGATGATGAGGCTGAGCCTGGGGAAGGAACTTCCAAGGATGGAGAGGAAAAGCCTGGCCAGGAGGGACCCTCAGGCATATAATGACCCCATCTTGACCCCAGGGCTCCCAGCTTCCAGTGACTCCAGAATGGTAGGAAAGCTTGCCTGCAGAAACTGCCATCCTATTTGCTAGGCCACAGAGACTTCGGTAAATTGGTCTGTAGATGCCTAGCTAGAGATGTGGGTGATAGCATACATTTGCCCCATACTCACCAGAACACACACACACATACACCCGCAAGCACTGGCTCAAGGCTAGCTCCACATACAATGTTTCTGTCTTCACACATGCACATTCTCATAAGCACAACCATGACTTACACCCAGGTAACCCACAGTCACAGAGAATGATGAATGTGCGGGGAGTGTCATTTAAAGGAGCCTTGCTGGTGTAGGACAAAGGCAGTGTTGGAGTCACAGGAAGGAAGTCTGATAGAATGTCTGACCTGCGTTCACTCCAGGTCACCACTTCAGCTGCAACAGGTCATCCAGACTTCAGGTCTGAGCTCGGCCAGGTGGGGTTGTAAATGAACCTGATGTGTAACTTAGAGATTTAGCTGAATGATAAGTGTCATTATCAGGAGAGATTGAGACGGTTATTGCACCTTAAAACATTTTAAAATGTGTAATTATTTTGTGAGTTATTAATAAAATCTGAGGTTCATAAGGTTGGCAATGGGTTTATCTCATTCATCTCTATGTTGCCAGAGCCCAGACTGCCTGGTACATAGTAGGTACACACATAGCCCAGACTGCCTGGTACATAGTAGGTGCACACATAGCCCAGACTGCCTGGTACATAGTAGGTGCACACATAGCCCAGACTGCCTAGTACATAGTGGGTGCAACATAGCCCAGACTGCCTGGTACATAGTGGGTGCACACATAGCCCAAACTGCCTGGTACATAGTGGGTGCGCACATATACATGTGATGACCAAAGTGAAGTGAGCCTAAGCATCTTGGAGGAAATGCCGCTTGTTGGTTCCTGGCCTGCCGGCTTGCTTAAACCCAGAGTAATCACACAGAAACTGTATTAATTAAATCACTGCTTGGCCGATTCGCTCTAGCTTCTTATTGGCTAACTCTTACATATTAATTTAACCCATTTCTATTCATCTGTGTACCACCACATGGCTGTGGCTTACCAGCTGAAGTTCTGGTGTCTGTCTTCAGCAGGGCTACATGGCTTCTCCTTGACTCCACCCTTCCTCCCAGCATAAAGCCTAGCTTTCCCGGCCTAGTTCTGTTCTGCCCTTGCCATAGGCTCAAAGCAGTTCTTTATTCATTAACTAATAAAAGCAACACACAAACAAAATGGCCTCCCACACCATAAGCACAGAAGCCCAGTGTTAAAAGAAAGTAAGTGTCAGTTCCTCAAGAGCCTTCGCTCCCATCTCTGTCTCAAATCCCACAGAACTAGAATGGGTGGGTATGATGTGAACGATTTCATCACACACATGATGGACTTAGTGAGCTGAAAATAGGCTCATTAGTGGGATGGACACTCTTAGAATAGGTGAATCTTGTCACTCCATAGAACCCTCATCTGCAGCAACACAGTGATAATGGACCAGCTCCAACCTCCTTTATGCAGGACAGTAAAGTTTCAAGGCCAGATGTGCATCTTCTTCCTGTGTTTTTCTAGGATGAGGGTTTTGATGTCACCATATGGAGTCCTCCAGTGGTAGAGCAGTTCCCATTTCTGATTTGGAGCCAGTGTTTTCACGGTTCAGGATTGTGCTGGGTTGAGGTAGGTTAGAGCACAAATTTAAGTTCCTTTAATAACAAAAATAAAAATCAATTCTTTTAGTCTAAAAACGCCTTAGTATGTAACGAACATCAAGCAAGACACTTCTGTGTACGAAAAGAAATGTTGCTGAAGCAGTCACTGGGAACTGCACTCTTCACCCTCCTCTCCATCACAGGGAATAACTGAAATGTTTACATCCCCTGACTGTAAGGTTCTTTGAACTGCAGCATCCAAACCAGGAATCATCAGAAACCTCTGCCCCAGTTCCCTTAGGACTTGACAACAATTCACTCAGAAGCAAACGTTCCCATCTGTCTACACAGGCTTAGAGTTGAAAGAATCAAAACTTCTGGACCTGAGGGTGAAATATTCCTTAAGACTAAAGGAACAGGAACTGAAGATTCCGTTAGTGCTTTCTTTCCTTGCTCTAGTATCTTAGCACAAACTTCACAGGCTAAAACAGCACCTCTTATCACCTCACAGTGTGTGACTCAAATCTAGGCTCTCTTCAAATGGCCGTTGGGCTGGGCTCTTAGCTGCAGGCTTTGGGGAAGAATCTGCTTCCGGATTCATCCCAGCTATCCGCAGAATTTATCCGTCTAGACTATAGGACTCACCTCTCTAGTTTTTTGATACATTTCTCCTAAAACACCATGCCCCAACTCCCCCCCCCCAAAAAAAAAACAATACCACTTCTAGGAGCAAAGCAAGGGAAAGGCTCTTGTACCAGGATTTTATTTTGGGCCACAAACCAGCTCCCAAATCATGACATGGAGACTTGTTCATTATGAATGCCTGGCTTTATCTTAGCTCTTATTTTAACGTTTCTCTTTACGTTTTGCCTCGGGATTTTTTTTTTTTACCTTTCTTTCTGTATATCTATTCTGTGTCTGGCTGGCTGGCAGCTGCCTAGCTTCTGGCCCCAGGCATGTCTCTCTCTTTTTCCCTCATTCTTTTCTTTTTCCCTCTTCTTTAGCCTAGATTTCTCCTACTTATTCTCTCTGTCCCCCAGCCCTCCCTATCCCAATCCCACCTATTTATTGGCCATTCAACTTTTTATTAGACCAATCAGGTGCCTTAGGCAGGCAAGATGAAACAGCAGCAATCTTTACATAATTAAACAAATGCAACAAATTTTTTTATAATTAAACAAATGTAACGCCTTTATATGGTTAAATATTCCACAACAGGCTCTTCTTCAAGGGGCCCCATCAGATTAGGCCAAGTCAGCCTGAATAATGCAGAATGATTTCTCTGTTTCAAGGTAAGCCAGCTATTAATTTTAATTACATCTGCAAAGTTCCCATTGTCATATTCAGAAGACAAGAGTAGTAACAGGCAAATTTCTGCCTATTATAATCTCCTGGGAGGAAAAAACTTGGACTCCACTTTCACAGAGGTTGCAGAATAGGAAGAGATCAGAATTGAGTCTTTTGGAGCCTGGAGAATGACCACAACATCATGAAGCACCGGAGAATAAGACTGCACCGCCTAAAAGTGTGTAAGTTTGAACCAAGTACATCTCAGCCAGCCCTGTCAGAAGACAATAGATTCTGCCCAGATGGCCAGAGACATTTGCAAGACCCTAAGTTGGGTAAGAGAAAACAGACAGAAATCCATAAAATACAACTGAGATGAAATCCTCCGAATGTTAGTTAGAAACTTTAATAAAATCTGTAAAACTCGGGGTTTTGTGTTGATTTCATTGGTTAATAAAGAAACTGCCTTGGCCATTTGATAGGCCAGCCCTTAGGTGGGTGGAGTAGACAGAATAGAATGCTGAGAGGAAGGGAAGTGAGGTCAGAGATGTGATGGAGCCAGCCGCCAGGTCAGACATGCTGAATCTTTCCCAGTAAGACACCACCTCATGATGCTACTCAGATTATTAGAAATGGGTTAAGCAAGATATGAGAGTTAGCCAAGAAGAGGCTAGAGATAATGGGTCAGGCAGTGTTTAAATGAATACAGTTTGTGTATTGTTATTTCAGTTGTTAAGCTAGCCAGGCGGCCGGGAGCTGGGTGGCAGAAACGCAGCCCACAGCTCCTTCTACAGGTATATACAGTATTTCTCACACTGTTAAGGAGGCAAGTGAGGTGTATGCTAGACATAGGTTTAACTCTTCAGTTCTTATAGCCATGTCAGGAAGTTGATTATTATGTTCACTCTTTCCAGACCAGAAACTGGAGCCCATAGAGCAACTGAAAATACTAGATTTGATTTGTTGAGGAGTTCTCTATGACAGGTTCTGGGCCACATGCATTGTCTCAGTTCATCACTACAACCATATGAGAAGGATATCGCTATTATCTCCATGTTTAAATGAAGAGCCTGAAGCTATGGGATTAAACAGCACACCCCAAATCACTGGGCTCATCAGTCACATGATAGGAAACCTAGGCTTGTCATTTTTATTTTATTTTATAGGAAAGAGCAAACCTCGGTTTGGGGCTAAAGTCTGCCAAGTTCCTTCCTTTGCAGAGAACAGTGCTTTGATCAGTCGCTGTGGTAACCAAGGGAAACCATGTCATTCCTGCAAAGCAAAGCTATGACTCCCGACAAGGTTGCCCAGTGTGATCAAATGTAATCTCAAGGATGCAGCCACAAAGGCAGAAACCACTGCTACACCGGAGAAGTGGGGTAGAGGGCAAGCATCTCTACACCTACATTATGTGTGCTGCTAGATCTGCACCAGAGTGTCAAAATATGTCAAGGGCTTTTCTGCTGAGATCATGGCTGCCTTGAGGTTTAGCTCTCCTCCCTCCTCCCAGCAGACTTAGGGCTCATTGTCTTCTCGTCTTCTCTTGGCTGCAGGATACCTTGACCTGGCTGAGGTATTCAAGGTTCAACCCTCCTATTTTTCCAGTTAGCTACTCTCCTGCAGAAAAAATTACCAGCCCGTGTCTCTCTCTCTCTCTCTCTCTCTCTCTCCCTCCCTCCCTCCCTCCCTCCCTCCCTCCTTCCCTCTCTCCCTTCCTCCCTCCCTCCCTCCCTCCCTCCCTCCCTCTCTTCATTCCCTCCTCTCCCCTCATCTCCCTCTGCCTTCCTGTGCTTTGTTCCTATGCTTTTGACTGCTAGCCCTGAAAGACAAATGAAGTAACTTCTCAAGCTTGGGAAGGATCTGATTCATATGGAGACAGGCCTTCCACCCTGAGGTAAGAGCTAATGCAGGCTCTAACAACAGGAGACTGAGTGGGTGGATTCTTGCTTGGGGCTCAGGGGAGTTTGGCTTGAGTCTAGAATCAGAGATGGGTTGTTCAGACGGGATCAAAACCATGGCTCGAGTCAGGGAACCTGTTCAGCTGGACTGAAATACAACTGGTAGGACAGAGCATACAACTGTAGCCACTTGAGGTTTGCTTCTGAAGAAGCCCTTACTAGCTGGGAACCCCTCAGCATGTACAAAATCTTTCCTAGCTATTACTAGAGACTTACAATGTGAATTAATTTATGAATGGCAGCTTTCCACCAGCACCAGGTAGATGGAGATTTCTCCACAATCAATGCCGTCTGTCACTATTACATCCTCTACCTGTGATTTTCCTCTGAGCCTTCTGAGGCTCTAGTTGCATAGCTCCTGTGGGCCCTTCTAGCAGTACCATATATCGCCAGCAGAGGGTGCCAGGTTTTTTCACTCCACTTACAACCCTCTTCTAGGCTTCAGACTTACATTACTTTGAAAAACTAGGGGAAATATCCAGAAAGAAATGGAATTCGAGGGGCAAAGATAATATTGGAGGAAACTGTTGTCTTGACTAGTCTGTGGAAACATTTGTTCAGACTTTAAATTTTTTTAGATTTATTAATTTATGTGTATATATATATATATATACATATATATGCATGTATGTCCCTTGTACCCTTAGAGGTGAGAAGAGGACTTCAGATCCCCTGGAAATGGAGTTACCAGTAGTTATGAGCCACTATGTGAGTGCTGGGAGCTGAGCCCAGATTCTCTACAAGATTAACAAATTAACAAGTGTCTTCCCAGTTTCAATGTCTCAGCCTGTTGCTCTCGACCTTCTTCCGTGGCCTCCAGCAGGTTACACAGGAATGCCAGAAGCTAATAATGCGGGGACATTCTTGGGAGCTGTCTCTGCGTGGCTTTCCTTTGACTCTATTAGCCCTCGGGTGAAGCCTTGACCTGACGGAGCTCTGGCCATCACTGACCAGCTTTGAGGGCCCAGTCTGACACCGAGTGTGATCATCCAGACCACTGGGCCCTTGGCTCTGCTCTCCCCCAGCACAAGTCTGGGGACCTGGAAGGCTAGTACTGCCCCTGATTTCTTTCCGCTGCCCAACATTATTGCCTGACTCCAGCTGGCTGCCTTCTCAGCCATTTTCCTCTTTGTTTAATTATGCCAAGGGAAGAGCCTCCTGTGTGGGCAGGGATTGCGTAGGCAGGAGCTCACCACAGAAGCATATCCACGTATCATAGAAAGGCAGAGAAAGCCTTGAAAGGTGCAGACTACAGAGAATGCAACCTAATCAGACCCAGAGAAAAGGACTTAGGAACTGGGAAAAGGAGAAAGCTAGAAAGCCAGGGACTAAGATGTAATTTATCTCCTGCTTGGACCCCAATTGTGTGTGTGTGTGTGTGTGTGTGTGTGTGTGTGTGTGTGTGTGTGTATGTGTGTGTGTGTGTGTGTGTGTGTGTGTGTGTGTGTGTGTGGATTAGAGCTTATTACACGATCCTGGCACTACTGTGTGTGTGAAAGGTGGGCTTCCTGAGTAAATTACTAGTGTTTTGAGGACCTATCAGCTCCCTGGAGCAGTAAGTTCTTGCAGCACAGGTTAAGCGGCTGGGCATTAGGTGGTCTCTCTTTGGCTGCTTTTACTTAAGCTGCAAGTACCCCCCTCACCTCAGTTGTGATATTGATTACTGAAAAAAGGATCATACCTGTGTTACTGGGTCAGAGCACGCCTGGGAAATGTAAACCATTCTAACCACACACCACACCAGTCAAGTTTAGTGGCCCAGAAGCCCCAAGGCTCCAAACAAAAGCCAAATACAACCCTGGCAGGTCA